CCTCGTGTCTCTAGGTGGGTTGTGTTTGCAAAAGGCCAAAACACCTGTGATGGCTCCCCTACCCGTGCCTTTTGTCATTCACACTGATATTCCCAAACTGCCCTTTTGTGCAGAGTTCAGCATTTCAGGTATCACGTTTGACCCGTCCTCTGGTTGTGCTGCCAACCACCAGCTCAGAATGCAGTGCCAGGAACCCCACCGCATGGCAATGCCTGTGCGAATGAGTGCTTTAGTGCATCTTGTTTTCATTCTTATAAAAATCAAGCCGCTCTCGGAAGAAAATGAGTGTATTGTTAATACGTGTCGTAAGCAGCCCTTGTCTCATAATAATCATAGCCAAGAGTTAATGTAGTATCTGCCGCATTTTAGTCACTTCGTATATTTATCTTATTCTAGCAACAACCTCCTTAAGTGGGGACTTTTATTATTACCATTTTACAGGCGAGGAAACTATTCTTAAAGCACCTAAGTAACTTTCCAAAGATCACACAGCTACTAAAGTAGTGACAAGATTTAAAAAAGAGAGAGAAATCCCATAGGCAGCTCGGAAACAGCAAAACATCAGTGTCGGCTGCAGGTTTGTGGTATGAATGGGATGACTGTGTGTTTCATGACGAAGGGAAAAAATGAGAAGACTGAACGTGCTGGCATATATTGTTGAAGAGGGCATTCCCAGGGCAGGCATGGCTGGAGGTGACATTAGTTTAGTCCCTGAAAACTGAACTTTCCTATAAGACGTGAGAATGGTTTTCATGTTTGCATATGCAAAATGGAGATGCTCTCCTGGAACTGTTTGTGCAGAAGATGGGGTGTGTCCTAGATTCATGCTGCCACTGGTTTCCTGCCATTAGGTTTCCGCAGCAGACAAAAAACACACCACTCCAAACTGAAGCATACAAGCTATTATATATTTTCATAATATAGAACTTTAAAGTATAGTAATCAACAGTGGCAAAATATTTCTGTCTTTGACATTAGTTTTTTTGTGAGATCCAACCTGTAATTGAGACCAGAGAAAACAGTATGGAAAAACGAATCCACGAGAACAGGATAAAAATACCATGAACAGCAAAATATGTCTGAGTATTTAAAACCGTATAGAAAAAAATAAATTAGATGAACAATTGTGTAAATATAAATTAAAAAAGATGACATTCTTAATAAATAAAGTTTACTATTTACATTTTTTATATATTGCTAAAAGACTTAACTTAGATCCATAAAAACACATGAACAGGAAAAAAAAATAAAACCCAAAATAGGAGCAGCAAATTTATGCGCGTGAGGTACAGAAAAAGGATTGGAATCGTGTTTTGGTTCCGGTGTTTAGATTTTTTTTTCCTTTTTCATAGTAGGCCAGTAGAATTCTCATGAGAATAGATTTTTAAGCACTTCGATGGAGAATTATTTTTTTGGTAGTTTCCAGAAGGTGCCAAACAGATTTTCAACATCATCATGATTAGAAATACCCATAATAATTATAACAATAATAAAAAGATATAATATGGTACATAAATATGGAAGAGCAGTTTGTAATATGAATACATTTTCTCTAGACGAGATCACAGTTTTATTTTGTAAATATTACATTTAAGTATATATATACACACATATATGTACAACTATATATACATGTGCATATATATGTAAATTTATATTTATATATAATATCTTTATATAGATAGGTATCTGTGGACAGGTTATTGATTATAGAGACCCCAAAAAGCAACTCAGTAATTGTTCCAAGTCCTCCTCGCTGACTGCTGGTGTCTAGTTTGAGAAGCCCCAAGGGGTTTGCACTCAGAAAGCCAGATCTTCTAACCAAACGCTGGGGAAGAAGAGCCTTGAGGGCCTCCCTTCCTCTATAGAGTAGGAAATGGCCTGGGAGTATCGGAGAGGAAGCAGTACACTGGCTTTTACTTTGCAGGAAGTAATTGGCTTTGAATCAAATGATAGAACTTGTCAAGGCCAGGATAAGGGGGGAAAGTCCAATTTACCTAAGGATGAAATATTCCCTAACACAAGCCTCCCTCTTAACACAAACTCCGGCTTTATCCTCTGGAGTATCAAACGCCCACTCACTGTCGTCCCTGAAAGGCCCGTGGGCCCCCACCTCTTGAGGGAGCCCATGGATTGTGTGTGTAGCCTTGGCTCTCAGATCGCTATGGCCCGAGTAGAACCTCAGGGCCTCCCAATCCCCCGGCCTCTCATGGTGAGGTAGGTTAAGTAGTATTATCCCCATTTTGCAGCTGGAGAAACTGAGGCAAATGGAGAGGCGAATTGATGACTTGTTCAAGATCACTAAGCAAACTGCTTGCTGCCTGGAGTCAAGATGTCTAGGTTCTTATTCTAGGGACATAATTCCTGTGTGGCTATTCAACATTTCCTTTATGGATCCAACAGTGGGTAGGAATTTGGCAAAATGTGAATGGGTTTAAAAAGAACAGGCTCTCATTTCATTGAGCTTTTATGTGTGTTGTTTGTTGGGTTTATTTTGTTTTGTTTCTCAGAAACCGTGGGGATTACCTGTTGGGTTAGGTAGCAGAGTGTAACCTGGTGGACTGTGCAGTGTAGTTCTAAGTGCAGAAAGCCCAATGCTACTGGTCGGGACACACGTTTTACAGTGTGAGAAGCACGACACAATATGTCCCCTTAATATCTGGTAAAACCAATTGCCAGCCCTCTCACTCCCTATGAACACACATTGCCACCAAAGAGACCAATCGCCTCCCAAACAACAACTCCACATCAAGGGGGAAGTTGCCTGATTTCCTGGATCTAGCACAACATACAGAAAATAGCAGGATTATACATCCCACTCTATGCCTCCTGTAGGGAAATCTTTATGCTTTTGTCTACCTACTCAGTCTGTAGAAAAAAACAAATTTCTTTAGGAAGCACAAAAATAGTTGTGTTTTTTTTAAAAAAAATCTTATTTTTAATCATGCATATGTATTTCCTTTTAATCTCCTTGTCTTCTATTAATTTCTATCTGTACAGTTTTGTCACCATCAATTTCTATTCTGCACTTGAAGTAGTTCCAGAAAAAAATCACACCACCCAAAACCTCAAAACTGATCACTTAAAAATATGGTTTCCTTTCTTTCTTCCCTCCTTCCTTTCCTTCCTTCTCTCTAACACAGGTAAGACCTATAACAAATGGACAGTTGCAACCAAGTTAACTCACACCTGGAAGGGAGGTAGCTGAAAACTGTCTCAAAGAATCATTTTCCACAAACAGCATTTACGCGTTGGCCAGGTGGGACTGAGACCAAGAGCACTGTCTAGGCAGCGACGCAACCCGCTGCAGCCAGGAGCAGCAGCTGACACCCTCCATCCTCAAAGCCCTGCTCTGCATGAACACTGGTCTCTGCCGTCCATCACACCCATCAGCCACCGAAACAGGCTTCTCAAGGACGGTCTTCCCCTAAGAGGTGGTTGGCACTGAATCTGGGGTGGGGGTGACAGTGGGGGTGGGGTAATGCAAGTCCTCTGGGTAGGCAGGCAGGGTTGTGGCTTAATAAGGCTTCCCAAGAGAGGGCTTGGAGAGCTGTCTACCTCATCTCCTTCCTTGCTGCTAACAGGCTAATCCTTCTGTAGACACAGGACCCCCGAGTGCTGACAGACAACAGGGCTTCCTCCTGGGAGTACTCCCTTTTCCTAAACAGGAGATGATGGGAAGATGAGACGATGAGTTTATTCCCAGAAAGAAAATGAAACTGGGTGTCAGTGCACTGCATGAATAGAGCAGACCCAACTCCACCAAGGGGAGGAGGGCCTATTGGTTACACCTCCCTTGTGGGCACGAGGCCGGCCACCAATCCAGTAGCCCCTCTTGCCCAGTGGCCTTGGCAAAAGGGAATTTGCGAGTGACAGGTTTGAATGATGGTAAGGAGACCGGGTGGAAGTTTGCTCAGAGGGCTCAACTCCATCTGGAGATAGAAGGCAGCCTTCAGGAAACTCTACTCAGCTGGAGAAGGTGGGGACAGACAAGGGGAAGAGGGAAAGGAAGAAAGAGGATGGGGGTCCATTTAAGGGAAGCTGGTAAGGTCCATTAGTCATGTTGTCTTGGGGTCTCCAAGGCTTTTTGCATTACTTACTGGTGTCATAAAGCATCGGGGAGGGCTAACAAAGTTATTTTTCTTAGTTCATATCTTCAACCTAATACCACACGGGGTGATAACTCAGAGCAAGAGAGGGGCCTCGAGAGTTGGGAAGAGCTCTTAGACACTGGAGAGGGGGTACAGAATGGGATGAAGTCTTCTATTATAATTATTATTTTGCTAATAATTGGCCCTGGTAATTATAGAAAAAAAATGTCCTGAATGAAAATAGGAGTTTGTAAGGAAGAAACATAAAGGATTTGAGCCTGGCCTTAACAATGGTGGCAGCCTCTTCACTCTGGAACTCCATCTCAGAGTTGGTAATGTAGTGCGAACCACACAAAATTCTAAGCACTGTATCCTTATTTGTGGGCACCTGTGCAAAAAGCACCTTGATATATTTTTTTTAATATCACAGACCACAGATGATGGCCAATAAATGTCTTTTCAAGCATCCTTGATCAGTAGGCAATTGTTGTCGGGAGTGATAAAGGAGCTTTCTGAAGCTCTTGTTGGTCCTCATGGGAGAAAGCGCTGTAACTAACAATGCCTGCCTCAGAAGCAGGAATGTGTGGATCAGTGCGCATGCCTGGCATGTTCCATTCCCATGCTAGACTGTGTTTTTGTTGGTTGTCTTCTCTAAACTTGAGAGGACTTGATTTATAGCAATCTTTATGGGATATGTCTAATTTAGACCTTCCCATCGCCTCACTTTCTCAGTTCCAGGTGTCAGAAATTATGTCAAACTTAACCATTCTCTCCACTTTTTTCTGTATTCATCTCTCCTCATATTCCTCAAAAGGAGTGGATGGAAACTGGCTGAAAAGAGGCAGAGGGCCCCAAAGAGGGCGGGGCTCCTACGGGGGTCTGACTGACTTACTCTGCACTTTCGAAACTGGCTGAAAAGAGGCAGAGGGCCCCAAAGAGGGCGGGGCTCCTACGGGGGTCTGACTTACTCTGCACTTTTGGAGGTGGAATGTGGGAGAGACGGAAGGGTTGCCCACCCCCAGGTGTGGACGGGAGCACTGGCAAATGGAAGACTATGGGAAACATCATGACCATTCTGGGTTGCTGGGGACCGAGGCTGGCGCCCTTGGACTTCCCTCTGATGGCCCCTGGAACACAGTCGAGACTGATCACATCCAAGATGATTCTCTATTATAGGAGGCTAGCTGCTCAGGGCCACCTCAAGGTCCTTAGGACCAAAGCCCCCTGTAGCCTGGATGGGCAGGAAGGCTCGGTGAAGGAGCATAACTCAAGAGTCCTTACAACTCTAACAGTCCCCGGATGACTCTAGCATCACAGAAACATAACACTGTTCCACTTGATTATAAAATCTAACACTGGCTTAGACATTCTGTACTCTCGCTGAGGGTTCCGACTCCCTTCCAGGGTAAGAAGCCCACCCACAGAGGACCACGCTTCTCTCCATGGGGGGCCAAGGAGGGGTTTCTCTTGCAGGAGGACTAGGGAGTGAGGAGCTATGGGGAAATGTGGGTCACGTTTAAGGCAGACTGTTTGGTTGTGTGGGGTTTTTCCTAACCTAGTCCTATCATCTTGGGTTACTTAATGTATAGGATAGAGCAGCAGGAAAAGTAGCAGCAAATGTGGTCCCAAGGCAAGATTTGGGGAATGGATGGGTTCCGGAGGGATATTATGGCCTCATGCCTCAAGCAGGGGGCTCTTATAATACCTTGACATTGCAATCTTAAGCCATTTCCAGCTTGGCCTTAAACCCTGGAGTTGGGGTAAGTCCCCCATGGCAGCGGGAAAAATCGGGGGGCTTCGTACACTTTGGATTCTTTCTCCCTGGGCCCTACTTTCCTAGAAGGTAGGTGATCAGAGACCATTTCACTTTCGATCCCAAAGGACTGTACCACTGCGCACGTCCTACATATTCCAGGCCTCAGGGTGTGAACTATCTTGGCATCTCAATACTCGGCCTTAGCAGTTTCTGCAACTCTTTCTCCCAAGGACAGTGTTGGCTGGGAGCTTGGGAAAGGAAAGATTGACTTTGTTCCAGTCTCTCTCTGCTCAGTCTCCAAAACTGCCCTCACACAGATGTTTGTATGGGTGTGTATGCATGCATGTGTACTAACCACAGATGTGCACATTCCTGGGCACAGAGCATGTTTCTCGCTGCGGTCATGTGACAAATGGTTAGAGTTTTAGGAGGCTCTGGGACTGCATGCTGTGCATGTGATCCATCTAAGACTGTGGGGTGGGATTCCATGCCATTACTTAACATGGTGAGACTTGCTTCGTGCGCCCCCACTGTGAGTCCTTCCTGGGTGAAATTAAAGGCAGACCGGTTGGATGCTAAGGATCCCTGGTGTGGAGAGGCCATTCCGTGGAGCAGCTCACTGTGAAATCAATACCAAAGGGATGCGGGTCCTGGCGCTGGGAATTCTTAACTCCTTGTCCTTCCTTAGCCGTGGCTGTATCCCCGGAGGTCTTTCCGGCTGTGTTCTCGGGCCTGGGGGTCCCGACAAGCACAGTCACCTTGTAGGTCACAGGACATAGGGAAGGGAGTGACCTGCGGAGAGAAAGAGAGGGGAGGTGAACCAGGTGTTTGGGTCTCAAGGAATACTTTTCAGAGAGGCAGCTCAGGGGACAATCGCTGGATTGGGGGGACAGCAGATTCAAGTGTGAGTCCTGACTTTGCTTCCTTCTAGCCCTATGATAGCTTGTATCAAGATCACCAGCGTTGTTATCCTAGCAACTTTCCTTTCCGGTGGCATTTACCATGGGTCAGGCAATGTGCAAAATACTTTGCAAATACGGAAACATCAAACCCTTCGACAACTCTGTAAGACAGATACAAAACAGCCACCATTTCACAGGTGGAGAAACGAAGGCTCAGAAATGGGCAGGCATTCCCCCAAAGTAATAAATGGCAAATCTTGCATTTCCAGTAGGACGAGCCACCTCTCCTTCACCCTCAGGTGCGTAGCTGTAGAATTGATATGATGAGACCGACTTGCACTATGACCTTTTGGGCTGGATGAAATTGTGGGTGAAGAATTGTAATGCGCTGTCCCAGAGCTGTTCAGAGAATTGTGAAATGGAATATCTGGTAGGACTGTCGAGGTGACTGGTGAGATGAAGGACGTGAGAGTCTTTTAAGAAAACACAGCTCTCTGCACGGATTGGGCATTTCCATTTTGGGAGGCAAGGATGCAAGCCACAAAAGCTCCTCTCAGCAAGCCCAGAGCCAGGGCACCTGAGATCCTGTTGGGGACATTTCACATGGAGATTCTGCATAACATTTGGTTGAAGGACCTAGGGAACAGATTTTAGCAAAAGGAAAGTGAGAGGCATACGATGATTTGCTATATGTAGATATTACAGAACCTGGGGAAAAGAAGAAATAATGATTTGAAAAAAAATTTAAAAAGAAACAGTGAGAGGCCCTAGTGTCAGTTCCCGCGCCATCCCCTCACGTGCTCTGTGACCTTGGGCCGCCTTCCTTTCTAGAAACAGAGACAGAGCCCAGCCAAGCGAACGTCTTCCCCATGCAGCCAGCGATCTGTCTTTCCTAAGAGCACCGTGCAGCCCCTGCCTGAGCCCAAGCTGGGCTAGCACGAGCCAAGTGGATTTCACCTCATTGCATCATGACATTCACATCGCACTTTCCCCAGAGGGTCCCCCATCTGCGCAGATGGATTTAGTGACCTCATTCGCCTCCTGCCTGGGCAGGGTCTCCAAGTGCTCACAGAGCCTCAGAGAGCTGTGACTCTCTAGCTTCTGGACTCATTCTGTGTAGCTAACTCTTTTCTCTCTGCCTCTTGGCCCATCCTCCCTCCCTTCCTCCAAACCTCTCTCCATGTCCAAATGTAAGGATGAGCAGGAAGATTGAGGTATCAGCCCCAGCAGCTCTGTCATCTAATAGTGTGACCTGGGGCATGTGACAACTTCTCTGCATCATAGGTAACTCATTCATTAAATGGAAACAGTGAAAGCATACGTGTCCCTGAGGCTGTGGTGAGGGATGAGTGAAGTAAGTGACAAAAACCACCTACCACACAGTGCTTGACATATGCTCTGAGTTCAACCATATACCTATTTATGCACATATATAGCTTTCCTCCTCCCTCTCACTTGGTGAGTCAGGAGCCGTGTCCGTCCTGTTCATTCTTGTTTTCCAAGGCCTAATCCATAGAACGAGGGAGTGTATGTTCACTTCTCCTTCTCCCTGACTCCTCCTCTGCACCCACAGCCAGCGTACCTGTTTCCCTAGTCAACTGACACCCGAAGGTGCTTGGTGCTTGGTGCTGGGGGAGCCTTCTCACAGCTGCCTCTTCCATGCAGTGTCTTTCTGCTCACAACTCCCTGCTGTTCCCTGCTTAGCACCTTTTCTCCCAACCTCCATGCCCTCATGCAGGCTGTGCCTTCCAATCTAGAATATCCTCCCACAACCGCTTCGCCTCCAGGAGAAGCAAGAGTGTTAGAATGGGAAAAGACACAGAAAAACCCTCTAGTCCGAGTGAGGAAACTGAGGCAGAGCCAAGACCAAGTCTAACTGACTGTGAGTGGGGAGAGTTCCATCGTGGGAGCTCAGAGGCCTGGGTGGGCACCCTCAGGCCCCATTCTTGCTGAGCCATTTGGGGAAAAGCCCTTCACTGCCATAACCCTGAGTTTCTACATCTGTAAGAGTGCGATTAAAAAAGCACCATATTTCACATGGTTGTGAGGATCAAACAAGAAGAAATATGCAAAAGCCCCAGCACATGGCCTAACACTCAGGAGATGCTTAATGCTAAATACACGTGTGCTGACTCAGATTTCCCACCAGCTCCAATTTCACCGTCTGTGACACCTTTCCTGCCTATTGGCCCCCCCCACCTCTCCCGCCTCCCAGACTTGGGCAGCCTCTTTGTCCTCAACTCACCCATCCCTTTATCTGTCCCCTTCTGCTGCCCTTGCCCACATCCTAACGTTACAATGATCCAGTTACCTCTAATGTCTCCTGCACAATTCTCTCCATAACTCTTTCCCATCGGGCACTACGACCCACGAGGGACCGTTTCAGTCTGGTTTCTCTCTCATGCATCCTGCCTCACCTCACACAAGCAAAAACTCTTCAACTAAGACTCAAAGTCCTTACCACGAGGTCAAGGCCTTGCAGGACTCGCTCTCCAACACTTCTTAGACCTCATCTGCCCCCCTTCTTCCCCACACTCCTGCGGCTTGTTTATTTATGGACTGGTTCCTCAAATCCTCCGAGTGCTTTCCCACTTTTAGGTCTTTAGCCATTAATGGCCCTCCACCCTGCTCTCTCCCCTGGCAGCTCATTCACTCTGCAGGTCTCATCTCCCCCCTCACTGGCCTGACCAATGGCACCCTGACCTCCATCCCATCTCCCAGCACCGTCTCCATGCTCCTTGTACTGAAGCACTTCTCACTTGTACGCCAGCTCAGTCGAGGCAGGGATCATGTCTGCTTTGAACTGAGTCTTTATATACAGAGATCAGGTGTTCTGTGAACCCAGGGATGGAAGGACAGATGGATGCACGGATAAATATCCAGGCAGCACACGGGCCAGGCAGCCTCTGCTTTTGCCCTCGCTGTCTGGGTGACTTGGCACAAGCCCCTGCCCTTCCCTGAGCTTCGGTTTCCCCATCTTACGTTAAGATTGGATGTTAATGGTCTGTATCTTTCTGTCTCTCTGAAAGTCCTCAGTCTGAGAAAGACAGAAGGCAACTCCTGGGCAAAAAGTACCTAGAGATGCACATTCTGCACACGCTCCTTGCGTGCTCCCCGTCCTGCCACCCCCAGTTCCACCAGCTTCTCGGCCATCGGGTTCCAGGACCCTGCCTCCAGCTGGTTTCTCAGGCCGGTCTGGTCACCCTGGCTCTGTGGGTGTGAGTGACCGTTCTCTCTCCTCCCGGTCAGCCCAGGCCGTTTCAGCATTTTCCCAAAGAAATGTGTCTGGCACCTAAGGAAGGAACCCCACACAGAACACAGCCGAGTCTAGAAGGTTTGCTCTCAGGGGCAGGTCTGCAGACAGGCAGCTCCTCGTCTCCACCACATGCTGAAGTGCGGCTGCGTTTACTGAGCCCTCCAAGGAGTTTAGGAGCAGACAAGCCCAGCTTGGGGTGGGCACTGCATGGCTTTGGCGAGTCTTTGGCACCCTGTAGACTCCCCCCCCGTCTATAAGATGAGGGTCTTCATAAATACCTTGCAAGATTCTGGGAAGGAGTAATGAAATAATGTTGCCCCAAATTAGCTTGCAAGTGCCCAGTGCCTTGTCCCCTCCCCTCCTGCCCTTCGCTCTCCTCTGTGGGAACTGCCTGTCCTGAGCTCTCTCTGCACAAGTGCCCTCCTGATCAAGGGCCTACACCTGGGAAGAGAAGGGAGGCGGTGGCCAGTCCTCCACCCTCCCAGGTGCTCCTGGGCCTGACCTGGATGAAACTGGGGAAGCCCATGTGTGCAGGTCCACAGCAGTGAACACTTTACACATGCATGCAAGCACATGCACATACATGCATGCACACACATTTGTACAGGTTCATAGCAGTGAACACCACTTTACACACACACACGTGGGTGCACACACACACGCACGTTAGCATTTCCTGAGGGCCTTCCACTTGCAGATGATTGCCACATGCTAGCATGCGGACCCCACACCACCTCACGAGGCTGTCTTTATTAGCTGCCGATCTTGCAGATGAGAAAATAGAAGCCTCAGAATGTTTACAACAAAACACAGCCACCCTGGGCTTCACAGCCCATCGATTAGTAGATGATGCAGGATTTCAAACCCACTCAAACACTGAGTTTTCAGCGAGTGAGTCAGGGCGAGGTGCCTGCCTCACCACGTGGCCATCGACTACTGCTTTGCCAGATAGAAAATAGCCCCTTCTCCCTTACATGTCTGGCCCTCAGTCAACACAATGTGCACTACTGCACTCACCCTTCCCAAAAGCCCTACTAAGGCAGCTATTCTGACCATCCCTGTCCTACAGCTCGGAGGAAACTCAGATGCCAAGAGGTGAGTCACTGGCTGGCAGGTAGCCTGGGTTCTGCATCCCTGTTTGTAACCATTCCTCCCTCCTGTCCCCCAAATGGCAGGCAGAGTGGGAGTCAGGGTCCCCTTTTCACAGAGAAAGAAACTGGGGCATCCCGAGTCTCATCCTGATAAAGTCAGTGCTGAGCAGAAATCCCAGGCCCCTGCCTCCCCCAGTAGCTGCCCGCCTTCTCCCCCACATGGCCTCCCAAGAAAGCCTACCACGCAAGGCACAAGCCCTGCAGTGGCCAGTTTACACCTGGGACACCTAGTGCCGTGTGGATAGGCCGCCCCATAAATGCTGGGCCGCCCACTCTGGCATTCTGTCAACAAGCCCAGGTCAATGACTAAAGGCCAGGATCCTCTCCTTTTTCCCTCTGGGCTGAGGATGTCGCTCAGGCACAGGGGTTTCTTCCCCTGGGTGAGCTGCCTGGGCTGACACCTCCACCCAAGTGTGTGAGCGGCTCAGGAATGCAGGCTGAGAAAATGTACCACAAGGCCCTGGCCGCAGGTCTCCTCTGAGG